GGGTTTATTCTACATCGATTTAAATAGTTTTTACAATGAAGTGAATAATGAAATACTACCTAAATTTTTTTAACGCCCTCCAAAGTTGAGGGATGGAAGAGATTTTTCACAAAAGAAAAATGAATTTAAGGTTTTTTGAGTTGATTTCTAATTAGCTCTGTTAAAAAGTGATATAACCATTGCTAAAACTAACCATTTAGTTCATCTCAAAAAAAAATCACAGACCTGAACCTAACGGTTGTATTGTAACTGCGATTGAAAGTTCATTATCCCGTTTTGTTCGATATTTCACAAAATTGTAAATATCTCCTAACTATAAAATTTTGGGACTACACAAATATAGGGGTTCATTGGATAGATTTAGAGGCCTCTAACACCTGACTTCCGTTGATCCACTACTAACTTTACACCCTGTATTTGTATAATTGTCACCGGCTTTCAGGGTAACAGCGTCATACTTAATTTTCGAATACTAATTAACATAAATACCGATGTTAAAGAATTACCGTACGAATGCCATGATCAATTACCTAATTCTGCCCCAAAAATGTCACAGTATAGCTGCTATTCAGCATTCTACTCAAATAGTACGAGCTCGGTAATAAGGGTATTGATTTCCAACAAAATACACAAGGATCCTCCTGCCACCAAATAAAAGTTTTTGTCATTAATGTATCCTTGTAAACGGAAATAGCCTTCACTTCCATCGATAGCCAGTACGATTTGTTGTTGATGGTAAAATACTATCGTTACATAATATTTTTTATCAAATTAAGATTTTTTTGTGCATGTTTGGTTTGCTGATTACCGCTATACAATCAGTGTGGAATAGCCAAATGCAACAAACTGTTTTCACGACCAATTTTCAAAAAACAACAATTATAGATTCGAAAAATTACATTGTGCTACGTGCAAGTGCCATCCTGAAATTTAATGCCCCCAAGGGGCTGGAGGAAACTTTGAATTTTCAAAATAATAGGAAATGTTACGTCTTTTCAAAAGATACACTTCTAGTTGTTATCGAGAAGACATGGTTTTGATTTTTGTTCTTTCTTTTTAACCCTATATCTGGTGCTGCAGCCTGTAGGCAACATCATCTTTAAACCTCAATTTCTCGTCCTCCCTGCTCTAACGGTCTGATTGGGCAGTGTTGCGCGTAAGCTGCATTATTCATTAACGGAAATAATATTATGAGCGACCTCCGTTTATAAAAAGTTGAGTCAAAATTTTCAATATGGTTGCCGCGTAACAGGTGTTTGATGCACGTATGAATCTGTGGTTGGGATTTTAGTTGCAAATGGTAAGTAATCATTTGTTTTTATGTTCTATTAGCCTTGGTTGGTATAAAAGAAGGTTGAGTCTTTATGTTTAAGCGATAGATCAGAAAATAAGGCAGGAAAATGACTTTGTTTGTTTGTACCTCTCAAGCAACATTGCCAGAATAATTACGTTTCCTTTTTCAGTCTTCCGATCTGGATAGTTTTCCAACCATGAGCACTACATGTTTTTTCGGCAAAAAGAAGGCACCGACCGTAATTCTCACAGATCCGCATATTTCCGATGTATCAGATGAAGACTTCAGTGACGGAGAAAATATTTCCCAAACAAATGAGCTCAACGATGAAGAAGAAGTACCTTCAGGACTTGACATGCTGGTTCCAGAAAGAAATTCTGAATTCGAAAAAAGTGAAGACGAAACTGAGCCGCCACCACCACAAAGACGAAAAACTGAATCATATTCTTGGATTGAAGCTGACATGATTTCTGCTAACATACCTTCACCAGACTTTCCTGAATCTGACAACATTGCAGTTCCCATTGAGTATTTTACAAAGTTTTTTTCATTTGATCTAATAAATAAAATAGTCTATCGGACAAATCTTTATAGTACTCAGCAACTTGGGTAATGTATTGATACAAATCCGTCAGAAATAACGGATTTTCTATCTATACTCTTGATTATGGATGTAATAAAACTTTCTGCCATAGAAGAGTTTTGGGCAGCTAGTACAAGAGTAGATCACGTGGCCAATATAATGCCTCTGAAGAGGTTTCAGAAACGAAGACGCTTTATCCATTTCGATGATAATACTAACATAACAGACCAGATAAAGGATCGATATTTCAAAATTACAGTATATTCAGATAAGAGATAGACCGGATGTAAACAAAAGGTTCGGGTGATTTTCACGCTAACGCCGCCGTCTCGACGTAAAACAGGAGCCCTCATTGGTCAATTCGCAATTAAATGCCTATGCCGAGCGGCAGAGCAGTCGTATCAAGGCAGAGTCACATTCAGGTTCAGACGTGTTACGTATGTCGTGTGCATCATTGCAATTTGATATTTCTTTGGACGTTTTCGTTTGTTATCTTATTAAGTTGTTGAGTTTGTCGTTGTTATTGTTATACCTTGTTATTGATTGTTATTGTTATCAACTGCTTGCGCAAAATGCCCAGTAGTACAGATACTGCCGATGAAGTTGTAAACTCCTGTAGTCCACCTAGGAAACGCTCTAAAAAAAGACACCTGAGTGCAGAAATGAAAGAGGTCATTTTGAATATATATAAGATCGAGCGCGAGGAGAACGAGGCATCAACCATCAAAGAAATTGTTGTGAAGGTTTCTCACAAAGTTGGGGTGTGTCGCGCATCAGTGTTTAATGTGTTAAGACAATACAAAAAAAATCACACCTTTTCTGAGCCAATGAGCAGTAAACATCGCAAAAGTATTGGTAAATCATTGGATGAAGCTGATAAGCATGCGATTAGGAGGAAAGTGCATGAATTCTTCTTTAGGAATGAAATACCTACTATAGATAAAGTACTGCAGAAGGTAAATGGAGATACAACGTTGCCAAATTTCAAACGATCAACTTTCCATGCGTTAGTGAAGCATTTAAATTTCAAATGGAAAAAACGGGGTCGTAATAGTTTACTACTGGATAGAGAAGAAATTGTGCTATGGAGGAGGGATTATTTAACAAAAATTGGGAAATATAGAAATCAAAACAGGAAGATTTATTACCTTGATGAAACGTGGGTAAACGCAGGACACACTACAAGTAAAGTATGGGTTGATGATTCTGTAACTTCATCCAGGAGGGCCTTTCTAGATGGACTGTCCACCGGATTAAAAAATCCAGCAGGTAAATACGAGTAATAGACAACAATCGGATGTTTTTCAAACCTTGGGAACAAGGTTCTAAACATTAATTCCAGGGGGCAGATAAAACATATTACAAGTAACAAAACTTTTATAACTTTCGATAAAATGCGTGGATGTTTTATTGTCATTTCCATTTGTTAGAACTTTTTTAAGCCATGTTTTTATGTGTTTTCGATATTTCAATAATTTTTTAATATAATCTTAAAATATGTCGAATAACTTAATAAACTTAAAAAAAGTTACTAAGTTTTATATTGTGTACCGTTCCTAATATTTCTAATCATTTTAATTCATACTTTAAGCTTTATAAAGTTATAATTTGTTAATATTAATATTTGCGCGTATTTCAGGTTCCTGATCATTCATTTTTTAAAGGTTTATAACTTTAAATTAAATTGTGAAGCGCTGAGTAATCATACGACGTTCAATATTCTTTCTTTCAATATGACTAAATAATCCCAATTATAGCAATCTGATACTCATGTCTCAATGTTTTTTCGCTGAATTTGATGAAAACATTTGAAAAAGGTTCGCTTATTGAAATAAATCTACACCAGTTAGTACTTCGATTTCCAGGTGAAGGGAAAAGGCTCATTATCTGCCATATTGGCAGTGAGGATGGATTTGTTGTTGACGGTCTGTGGTGCTTTGAGTCTAAGAAAACTGGAGATTACCACGAGGAAATGAATGGCGAATCGTTTGAACAGTGGTTTTCAAAAATTTTACCGAACTTAGAGGAAAACGCAGTAATTGTGTTGGATAATGTGCCTTATCATTCTCGAAGAATGGAGAAGGTCCCAACAACGGCTTCAAGGAAAGTTGATGTTCAAAATTGGCTCCGCTCGAAAAATATCAACTTTGAAGAAGCAATGCTGAAAGTACAATTATTAAGAATTGTCGAGGATCACAAGGCGGAATATCAAAAATACGCCATTGACGAAATGGCAGCAGGTCAAAATAAAACTGTGCTCCGTTTACCTCCATACCATTGCGAGCTCAATCCCATTGAGCTCATATGGGCAGAGGTTAAAAATTATATAGCTAAGCACAATACAACTTTTAAATTTTGTGACCTCAAAGGACTTTTCAAAGAAGCACTAGAATTAATAACAGCGCAAAAATGGGAAAACTGTATTAAGCACGTGAAAAACAAAGTTGAAAAGAGAATGTGGGAACTGGACAATATTTTAGAGGAACAAGTCGAGCCATTCATTATTGACGTTGGTGCTTCAGGCAGTAGCGATGATGAAAGCTCATCAAGCTCATCTTTCCAATAAAAGATGTCGTTCATCAAATTCGGTAAGTTATAAGTAATTATAAAGCTACTGTATTTTTTAATTAATTATTGACATTTTTGAACCCATTTTGGCAAAACCTATTCAAGAATCTACTTTCTGACAATGTTCAACCATGCACATTTTTTTACGTTTTGAACGTTTTAATTTGGTTACATATTTACCTAGAAATCAAAAAATATACTAATCAATATTCTAAAAGCAATTTTAAGAGATATACGATTATTTTTAATTTAGGCTAATTTAAACGCCATTTTGAGATTATATTCGACTGTATTTCACCAAACATCAGGCGGCATCCGAAGCTGGAAATCGAAGCGAAAATTTTGAAACCCTTATGTATATTTACATCATTATATATTTCTTACCCCACCCCCACATGATCCTATATCCATCACCAATCGTATACACATCGAATTGTGCTAATTTACTACAAAGTTACGCAAAGCAGCATCTACTATCTAAAATATGTACTGCGTGACTCTTAATACGTCCCTGCCGAATGTTACAGCGTTCGATGATCACGTGGTCTTGTTTATGTCCGGTCTATCTCTTATCTGAATATACTGTAGACCCTTATTAGAAATTGTACGCAAGAACTGTTATACTACAGTTTGAAAATCAATACTCAATTGATGAAACAATGTTGTCTTACATAGGCACATATGCGGGCAACTTGAGGCAGTATATCCAAAAAAAAAAAACCCAAATGGGGGTTTAAATTTTTTATTCGTGCTGGGGTTTCTGGTTATATACCGACTTCATACCCGATCATTGAGCTGCGACATTTGAAGTGCTTAGAGGATCTCCGAATGAGTTAGATGATTATGAAGTGAATCTAGGTGTAGGTGCTAGTGCCGTCATTTCTCTGTGCAGAACCCTAAGCGAACCGAAAAACACTATTATATTCTGTGACAATTGGTTTTGAAGTGTAAAATTATTTATTTATCTGAAAGACCGAATCGGGATACTTGGTTTAGGAACTATAAGGTCTATCAGAATAGCTGGATGTCAACTTGAAACCGATAAAGTGTTTCAAAACAGGGGAAGAGGTTCCTACGTTTATAAAGCAGATACAGACAAAGGTATAATAGTAGTAAAATGGGCTGACAATAAATGTGTTTTATTAGCAAGTACATTCTGTGGCCTAAATCCCGTAAAATCGATAAAAAGATATTCGAAAGTGGAAAAGAAAAAAATTGCCATCCCTTGTCCATCCGTTATAACGCAATACAATAAGCACATGGGCGGTGTCGATAAGGCCAACTCATTACTTGGTCTGTATCGCAGTCCAAGCAGATCGAAAAGATGGTACTTCCAAATTTTCACATGGGTTCTTGATATGTCAGCGATCAACGCCTGGCTTCTGTGTAGAAAGGACTGCAACACAGCACGTGCAACGTCAAAACCGCTAAAGGAGTTCCGTATGGAATTAGCCAAATCATTGGCCAACGCAGGTAAACAAAGCTCTCGTGACAGACCATCAATTTCCTCGACTAATAAAACCCCTGCGAAAATAATATCAAACCCTATACTGCCGAGACCTGATGTCGCCACCCAAAAAGATGGCATAGGTCATTGGCCAACTCTTGGTACAAAAGGTAGATGCAGGCACTGTGCCAATAGATTTACAACAATCTTTTGTACCAAGTGCTATCTTAGGCTTTGTTTCACCCCAAATAAGAATTGTTTCTACCTTTTCCATTCCAATTAGATTTAGCTGTTTCATCACATTGTCTTTTGTGAAACTAGAAATATATATTTTGTTTATTTCTTGATATTCGTTTTATAAGTAAATGATTTGAAATGTATACATTCACTTTCACCGATGGAATCAAAATTTTAAACATAATGATCCAAATTAACCATAACAAAATTGAGGTATCTGCAATTTATCGTCCGTCATGTTCAGAACCCCAGGAGTTTTTAAAGAATATCGAAATTTTTTTCAAAATCAAAATAAAGTTCATTTAAAGCAACATATTTTCTTGGGAGATGTCAATATAAATATTTTGGACGATGATCCCATCACATATGAATACTTGAATATCCTATCAAGTAACGGATTTCTGTCCTATATAAACCTACCTACAAGGTCCATCAGTGACACATGTAAGATCACTGCTTTGTGAAAGACCTATCCAACAAAATTACTTGTATCCCAATAATCCTAGAAAGCGATATTACTGACCACTTCTCCACTATTTTACTGATATCTTCAAATGAAAAACATTCTAACATCCCTACCGTTAATAACAACCAGGAAAATTACAAATTTTTTGTCGACAATTCAAAACTAATATCAAATGTCAAACAAGAATCCTGGGAACAATTATACTCTATAAATAATATAGACAAAGCAACGGGACTGTTCATAGAGAAAATAAAATAGATACTAGTACCAATAAAGTAATAATTAGTCACAAAGAGAAAAGCAGAAATGCCTGGATTACCAAAGGATTAATAACATCGGCAATAGAAAAAGAAAGACTATATAATGTAATGAAACTAACGCCAACTACAGAGAATACCGACTGCTACAACCAATATAAAAATAAATTTATAGAGCTTGTAAGGCAAACCAAACGAAAACACCTAAATAAATTGAATAATAACTTAAATGACCCTAAGCGGCTTTGGACAACTATTGATGAGATTACTGGGAAAACAAAATTTAAAGAGTGTGTCACTGAGTTAAATACAACATCGGGAACAGTATTAAACAATACTCAACAGATACGCGATGAATTTGTACAATTCTTTACTGACATAGGCGAAAATTTAGCAAGTAATATACAAGCAAATGTACAAAATACTCAGCCTCCAGAAAGAACTTTGAACTCATTTATTTTGGGTAAAGTCGAGCAATGTGAAGTATACACCACTGATATGTCCTTAAAAAATCGGAAAAGTCCTGGGTTCGTTGGTATTAAAAGCGAGCATTTGAAAATTATAACCGAGGACATAACAGAACCACTCACTTACCTAATCAACAAATGCTTTGAATCTGGCATATATCCCCCAATTTTAAAAAAAGGTAATATAATACCGATACATAAATCAGGAACAAAAACAGATGTTAACAACTATAGACCAATATCAATAATATCCAGTGTAGCAAAGGTTTTTGAAAAAGTTTTATCTACTAGAATGATTCGATACCTCACAAAATAAAAATTTTTAGATGAAAATCAATATGGATTTACAGAAGGGAAGGCTACATCGGACACAATAACTAAAATTGTAAATCAAATACATCAAAATATTGATAACAGAATCCCTTCAATCTGCATTTTTGTTGATTTAAAGAAAGCTTTCGACACAGTTAATCACAAATTATTATTAGAAGCATTGGAGAGAATTGGTTTCAGAGGAAACGCGTACTCACTGATCGAAAGTTATTTGTCAAATCGCCCACAATCTGTGCAGATATCAGGATCATTTAGTAAAGAAATGTATATTAAGTGTGGTGTCCCACAAGGAACTGTCTTAAGTCCGCTGTTATTCAATATATATTTAAATGATATTTTCCAAATTAATTGTGTTGGCAAAATAACTAGTTTTGCAGATGATACTGCAATATTATATAAAGGCACTGACTGGTCTGATCTGAAAAATGTAATTGAAAATGATTTTATCAAAATTATTCAGTGGTTTAACAGTAGAAAATTAAGCATTAACTACTCTAAAACACATTTTTTACCATTTGGATCTTATGCTAGACATCTGCCAAATTACAAAAATTTCTCCTTCAATATTAATAATCAAAAAATACAAACTAATAGAGTGCCCAACATAAAATACCTTGGAGTAGTCTTGGATCATCACTTACGATGGGACATCCAGGTCAATTATATTTTAAAGAAAGTTAGATTTGGATCCTACAAAATTAAATACCTTGGGAATATATTGACAGAAAAATATCTTCGAACATTATACCATGCACTGATTGAGCCTCATCTCACATATGGTATATTAGCATGGGGAGCTGCATGTTCCTCACATATCTATAATTTAGATGTTTTTCAAAAAAGTATTCTAAAAATGATATTTAAAAAACCGAAACTTTATCCCACTGAAAAATTATACGCAGATGTTCGAATGTATGATATAAGACAGCTTTATTTCTTACATAGTATCACTCACTACCATAAATTTGTAAACACCGACCAAAAAATTAAACATAATCATTATACCAGGTACAAAATTCGTGGCACAGTAGTTCCTCAACCGCATAAATCTATAATGCAGCGATCATATCTCTATTTAGCGCCTAAATTTTATGAAATTATACCTAAAGACTTAAAAGATTTACGTTTCGGAAATTGTTTCAAAAGAAATTTAAAAAAGTGGCTACATTCTATATCTAGGACTGAAATGCATAAACTCATAAATACGAACATCAACTAAATACATAATCTACTGTAGCTAATTTTTGTCCTTTTTTGTCATTTGCATTCTACAGTTTCAACTTAAATTATTGGTCCATGTACAGGCGATGCCTTCTATTGGGCCTGTTTTGATTTTATATTTATTTACTCATATTGTTTATCTTTGTACATTGAGTGAATAAATATTATCATTATTATTATTATTATTTCCATATAAACCAGTGCAATTAGGTTTACCTTTATCGGTCAGTGTTGCTTGCAAGTAACAATAGAACCTATACTTTATCTCGCAATGTTGCTTGCAAGCAACTAATTCTAAAGTCATTTTCCCAGGTTATTTTTCAACTTTTATAATATCTTATGTCATCTATAAGTCATAACTGATAACCTATGTCAATATTAGATTTTTTCAATAAGGTGTCGCGCAAAGGCAGATACAGGGTTAAATAAGAAATCAGGGATTGGTACTCGAGAGTCATTATAATTTTGGCCTGCTTGGAGGACGAACTTACTTTCTACATTAATTTAAATCACAGTAAGAAAATACAATACTCTTCTCTTTTACACAAAATGAGCACTAGCCGACGATCGTAAGACTTTCCTGGGTTGTAAGATGGATTTTTATTAAAAAACTTTATTCGAAAACAAAATGCAATAAAAACGAATATCTAAGATATTTTAATTCGAAATGTGTTGAGCTTTCATAACGTGTTAGGGCAATAGTTAGGCGTCAGTGTTCAAGGTAAATAGTGAATTCTGTGGCAATAAGCTGAAAATTCTTTGCCGAAGTTTGGTGCTTAAAAATTTTATCTGTGAGTATGTTAGGGCTAAGAAAATGGGTCAAGGGTCACCTCCTTAGTGATGAAATAACTGAATGAAACAAATAAAAAAATATGTCTTAGCCTATTTTTCGCAAATAGAAAGTTGAAGCAAACATTTTTTCCTGGCATACTCTTACAATTCCCTCCACCATTTTTAGCTATTTTGTAAATGTCTACAATGGCAATGCCCCTTGAATGCTTTGAGATTACGTAGCCGCCAAAAATGTACTTTTCCAAATATTAAATCCCTTATGTCTCGGAAAATATTAACTCTAGAGAAAACTTTATGGACATGTCTTTTGTCAAGAAAACCCCAAAAAGTCTAAGGGAACTTTGTCCTGCAGAAAATTGGTAACTTTTGTCACAATTCTGGACCTGTCAATGTTGTGATTCGTTAGATGTGAATAAGATTCTGCAAAAAATAGAATCAGGATATTTTTCCGAACTGAAACGAAGATACTTCCTGGACTAGCTACGGTAGTCACTTAAGCAGACTGAATCATAAAACCATCCGTCTAAATTTGGACTCCATTAAAAAACTACGTCATGGGTATATTCAAAAACAATTTTCAAAGTAGCAATACTGTCAGGAAAATACTGAATATGGATGTAAGGGGAATATTCGATTTCCCTTTGCATGCGTCGTCGGATATTACCAATAAGTCGCAATTCGAAATATAGATCGACTATTTCAATTACATGACTGTTAATAGAGTGTGCCATGTGCGTCGTAACTCTCATTCTATTTAAGTAAAATATGATGGGGTCGAAGTGATAGGAAATTCGATGAAAAATTCATAACGCAGGCTCCGAGAGGAGATTAGTATGCACAACGATGTTCCAGGCCATTCAGCAGTATATCCAACAGAGCATATCAATATGTTTGGACAGTCAAGCAGCCAAGCATCCTCTTAGTTCAGGAGAGTACTATTGTCCTTCAGAGCTTAGCATGATCTAAGGGAGCGACCCTACTTTCGGTCCACGGACACGCCAGAGTGCCGAGTACTAAGGTAAAAATTTTCAATATGATATACTAAGTGACATATAAATCCGAACACCCAGTTTAAATGGTTTTATTTTAATAAAAGTTGGTGAATGTATTTATCTTACTGTAAATAACAAGTGAAAAAATTTTCAGCCTTATCAGTTGGACATTCCGGTTTTTATACTGCTTTTTTTTAATTCACTAACGCTCTAAAAATGAATATTTCAGCCGCAGTAAAGAATCAACGTTGGCGGATTTTG